GGAAAAAAATTTTCCAAGCAAATGGAAAGCAAAAAAAAAGCTGGGGTAGCAATTCTCATATCTGATAAAATAGATTTCAAAATGAAGACCATAACAAGAGACAAAGACGGCCACTACATAATATTGAAAGGATCTATCCAACAGGAAGATATAACCCTGATAAACATATATGCACCCAATATAGGAGCACCAAAATATATTAAAAACCTTCTGGAAGACTTCCAAGGAGAAATCGACAACAATACAATCATAGCAGGGGTCTTCAACACCCCGTTGACACCACTGGATAGATCCTCTAGGCAAAAAATTAGCAAGGAAACAGAGACTCTAAATGAAGCACTGGACCAAATGGATTTAATAGATATCTACAGAGAATTACACCCCAAAACTACAGAATACACATTCTTCTCAAGTGCACATGGGACCTTCTCAAAGATAGACCACATGATAGGACACAAACTAAATCTCTACAAGTTCAAGAAGATTGAAATCATATCAAGCATCTTCTCAGATCACAGTGGCATGAAACTAGAAATCAATTGCAGCAAGAACATGCAAAGACATTTCAACACATGGAGGCTAAATAGCGTGTTATTAAACAATGAATGGGTCACCGAGGAGATCAAGGAAGAAATTAAAAACTTCCTGGAAACCAATGAAAATGAACACACAACAACACAAAATCTATGGGATGCAGCGAAAGCAGTTCTGAGAGGGAAGTTCATAGCACTACAGGCCTACCTCAAAAAACAAGAAAAATTTCTAATTGACTGTCTAACCTCACAACTTAAAGAATTAGAAAGCAAACAAAAAGAAAACCCCAGAGCAAGTAGAAGGAAGGAAATAGTAAAGATCAGAGCAGAAATAAATGACATAGAGACCAAAAAAACAATTCAAAGGATCAATGAAACAAAGAGCTGGATTTTCGAAAAGATAAACAAGATAGATGGACCCTTAGCTAGACTCACCAAGAAACAAAGAGAGAGAACCCAAATACACAAAATCAGAAATGAAAGAGGAGAAGTAACAACCAACACCACGGAAATACAAAAGATCATTAACAACTACTATGAACAACTATATGGCAACAAATTCGACAATCTAAGTGAAATGGACAAATTTCTAGAAACACACAGTCTCCCAAAACTATTCCCGGAAGAGATAGAAAACTTGAACAGACCAATAACAACTAAGGAAATTGAAGAGGTAATCAAGACTCTCCCAGCAAACAAAAGCCCAGGCCCAGATGGTTTCACGGGGGAGTTTTACCGAACATTCAAAAAAGAACTAACACCCATTCTCCTCAAACTATTTCAAAAAATTCAAGAAGAAAGAAGACTTCCAAACACGTTCTATCAGGCCAGCATAATTCTAATTCCAAAGCCAGAAAAAGACACTACGAAGAAAGAAAACTACAGGCCAATATCCCTGATGAACATAGACGCCAAAATCCTGAACAAAATATTAGCAAATCGGATCCAGAAATACATCAAAAAAATTATTCACCATGACCAAGTGGGATTCATTCCAGGGATGCAAGGATGGTACAATATTCGCAAATCAATAAACGTGATACACCACATAAACAAAATGAAGAATAAAAACCACATGATCATATCAATAGATGCTGAAAAAGCATTCAACAAAATCCAGCATCCATTTCTGATAAAAACGCTCAACAATGTGGGAATAGAGGGATCATATCTCGACATAATAAAGGCCATATATGAAAGACCTACAGCCAACATCATACTCAATGGACAGAAACTAAAAACATTTCCATTAAGAACAGGAACAAGACAGGGATGTCCACTTTCGCCACTCTTATTTAACATTGTACTGGAAGTCTTAGCCACAGCAATCAGACATGAAGAAAAAATAAAAGGGATCCAAATTGGAAAGGAGGAAGTGAAACTGTCATTATTTGCAGATGACATGATATTGTACATAGAAAACCCTAAAGACTCCATCAAAAATCTATTAGACTTAATAACTGAATTTGGCAAAGTAGCAGGATACAAAATTAACGTCAAGAAATCGACGGCATTCTTGTACATCAATGATGAACTCACAGAAAGAGAAACTGAAAAAACAATCCCATTTACCATCGCTCCAAAAAAATTACGATACCTAGGAATAAACTTAACCAAAGAAGTAAAGGACCTATTTGCAGAAAACTACAGATCATTGAAAAAAGAAATAGAGGAAGATATAAAAAAGTGGAAGCACATACCCTGTTCATGGACTGGAAGAATTAACATAATTAAAATGTCCATACTACCCAAAGCAATCTATAGATTCAATGCAATCCCCATCAAAATACCAACGACATATTTCATAGAACTAGAACAAATACTTCCAAAGTTCATATGGAACCAAAAGAGACCCCGAATAGCCACAGCAATCTTGAAAAAGAAGAACAAAGTAGGTGGGATCACAATACCAGATATCAGGTTATACTACAAAGCGACTGTAACCAAAACAGCCTGGTACTGGCACAAGAACAGGCATATAGACCAGTGGAACAGAACTGAAAACCCAGAAATGGACCCAAGGCAATACGCTCAATTAATATTTGACAAAGGTGGCAAGCGCATACAGTGGAGTAAAGACAGCCTCTTTAATAAATGGTGTTGGGAAAATTGGACAGCTACATGCAAAAAAATGAAACTAGACCATCAACTTACACCATACACAAAAATAAACTCAAAATGGATAAAAGACTTAAATGTGACCCGTGAATCCATAAAAATTCTAGAAGAAAATGTAGGCAACAAAATTTCAGACATCATACGGAGCAGAATTTTCACTGATACATCACCTAAGGCAACAGAAATAAAGGAGAAAATGAACACATGGGACTACATCAAACTAAAAAGCTTCTGCACAGCAAAAGAAACAATCATCAAAATGGAAAGGCAACCCACTGTATGGGAGAACATCATTGCCAATGATGTATCAGATAAGGGGTTAATTTCCAATATATATGGAGTGCTCATACAACTCCACAAAAGGAAGACAAAGAACCCAATTAAAAAATGGGCAGAGGAGCTGAATAGACACCTCTCCAAACCGGACATACAAATGGCCAAGAGACATATGAAGAAATGCTCAACATCACTAATCATCAGAGAGATGCAAATTAAAACAACAATGAGGTATCACCTCACACCTGTCAGAATGGCCGCCATCAACAAATCATCAAACAACAAGTGTTGGCGAGGGTGTGGAGAAAAGGGGACTCTAATACACTGCTGGTGGGAATGCAGACTGGTGCAGCCGCTATGGAAAACAATATGGTGCTACCTCAAAAAATTAAAAATTGAACTTCCATTTGACCCAGTGATCCCACTGCTTGGAGTATACCCTAAGAAGCCTGAAACACCAATCAGGAAGAATATATGTACCCCCATGTTCATAGCAGCACTATTTACAATAGCTAAGATCTGGAAACAGCCCAAGTGTCCACCAGTAGACGAATGGATCAAAAAGCTGTGGTACATATACACAATGGAGTACTATGCAGCGGTAAGAAAGAAAGATCTCTTATCCTTTGAGACGACATGGAGGGACCTGGAAAGTATTATCCTAAGTGAAAGAAGCCAAGCAGAAAAAGACAAATATCACATGATCTCACTTATATACGGAATATAATGAACATAACAGTCTGAGGAATACAGTAGACCCAGACACATGGAAGTAGGGCACAGACTGACATCCCTCAGAAGAGGGGATGGGGGGTGGGGGGGTGGGAAGAGATAAACCACAGAACTTATATGCATGTATGCATGACCAATGGACATGGACAACTAAGCAGGGGAAAGGGTGGAGGGGGGGTGGGGTGGGGGTGCCAATGGGGTAAAAAGGTAAAATATCTGTAACAAAAAAATAAATAAATAAAAAAATTCATAAAAAAAAAAAATGTTTGATACAGGGGGGTTTAAAGATAGCAGTGGGATAGGTAGATCTTTCTTGCTCCTCCTCCAAGATCCACAGTGAAAATGAAACTACATCAGGGTCCATTCACCCAGCCAACTGAAAATTAGCTGAAAAGGAGAGTTTTAACAAGAAACATCAGAAACGACCCTCAAGAATGGCAGGAAGGGCAAGGTAGTTAGAAGGCCTGACCCAGCTCCCACCATGGTTTCTGTAAGCAGCAAAGTTCAAGGAGGCAGCATGAGGCCATGGGCTGGGGTTCCTAGGATAAGTTTCCACGACCTTGGGTGAACCCTTTTGGGTGTACACTCAAGCCTCAGTTCCTGTTGGTCATCTGAGGGGCAGGGACAGGTCCAAGTGTGCATGTGGTGTTGCCTGTGTATACGCATGTGTGTCTATGTGTATACACACACGTGTGTGTGTGTGACAGAGCAGGAGATGCTGCACAGCACACAGAGGTCCGGGTGTCTCCAGACTCAGGCTGTCTGCCTGACCTCACACACCTGCCCCACGTTCACTGCCCTGGCTTCCTGAGCAGGTTGCCTCCTCCGTCAGTGGTTGAGGTCCCCCATCAGCTCCTTTCACCTGGTGCAGTGCTGGGGATCTGATTGCCTGTGGGTCCCCACAGCAGCCGGGGCCCTTCTGTCCTTGACGTGCTGCCTTCAGCAGTCTGGCAGAGACCATGAGGAAAGACCTTCCTGTCTCACGATGCATGAGTCATGTAAGGTGATGCTCCCAAGGTCAGGAGCCAGGCGGTTCTGTCTCCTGAGCAGCAGGCAAGGCTCAGGGTGCAGATCGTCTTGGGCTTGCCTCAGGCCTCCCTAACCAGATCCTTGGCTGAGTGTGTGTGAAAGAGGAGACGGGGACAAAAGCTTCTCTTGGGCCAGGATTTCTGGCCACCTCAAGCTCATCTGATGAGGTGTATGGAGCACGGGCACAGAAGGACGCAGAGTCACAATGCTCATTGGATTGTTTATTTACTACCATGGAGTTTGCTTTCCTTTATTAAAACCAAAAATGGATTGGTGGTTACAAAGTGATGACTATTTTTGTCTCCTATGAGCTTAGGAACCTGCATTGTCCTTCAACTGCTCACAGAGTGCACCCTTGTAATCTAAGGAACCCTCCTCCTCCTCGTCCTCTTCAGGGTAATCTGAAGGTGCCATGGCAGAAAGGTCAGCCATCAGGACGGAGTAACAGATGTCGTACAAAGACATCACCGAACCATGTAGTGGAGAATTTGGGGGGCTGGTGGGAAGATCCCCTGTACCCTCAGTTTCGGCAGTAGCCGTGGGCACAAACATGACATTCTCAGACATACCCTCCCCCCTTGGACTCCCTGGCTCACTTGGACACGGGACCTCCATGACAGTGACCATGGATCGTCCACGCAAGAACTTCAATGAGTGGGTGCCACTGGGTCCCCTAGCATTTGGGGCTTTCCTCTCGGCTTTTTGGTTGGCTTCCCTGGTGCCTTCCTTATGGTGAATCCGTGGGGAGCTTCTTGTAGGGGCCAGAGGTTTCTTTTTCTTGGGAGGTCTTGCGTTGGTCGCTGGACCAGCAGGAGTCATCTGGCTGCCTTTTGTCTTAATGTCCTCGATGAGCCAGGGCTTGTCTCTCTGAAACTTTGAGTTCCGGTAGATCTGAAAGAAAATTAGTAATTTTAGCCATTCTGGGAGAAAATATACCTATGTGACATTAACTGGCCTCTCAGAGTTTTTAGTCATCCCTGCAGGTCATCTCCAAAGGGCTTATAGTGCCCTCTGAATACCTATAGTTTCTCATCTGTTGTTAAATACTGTCTCAGGTGAAAAAGAGTTATGCCCTGAAATGAAAGCCTTTCAGGATATCATTCTTCTTGGTCTACTAGGAAGAGGGTCGGGTAACAGAGAATGTGGGGAAATAGGAGACTTTCTACTTTACCATCATTCTGTTCCTTGGATAGCGAACTGAAGAATGGCCGGGGCGTATTTTTCTGAATCCATAGAGGTTCAGCAGGCGGATGAAACTCTTCAGGCTGTCTGAGTCAAAGATTTTCTCCTCACCCCTCCGGCAAAGAACCTCCCTCTGGAAAAGATCTTCTTCGATGATCACGGTGTCTCCGTTGTCACTCCAGCACACAGACCTGAAGGTGTCGTCCTCCACGATCCTCCAAAGCCTTCTTGGGAAGGACAGCCCAAGAGGAATGCTGTGTCCTTCCACGTTGGCGGCACCTTGGTTTGGCTCCTGTGCTTGTGGGTTGTGTTGGGGGCTTGGGTCTTGGCTCCTGACAGGATCCCCCTGCCTATCTAAAGCCTCCCTGAGTTCCACATGTGGATCCAAGGGAGTATCATGTTGGCCCACTATTGATGGCTGTCCATCGCCTGATGGGGCCAGCTTAGCTTCCTGCATCTCCTCGGTACCCTGACTAGCCATGGAGAGGTTCTACATCAAAGAGCATTGGCTACCTGATATCCTATCACTGAACTCTGGGGTCAGAAATGCCTTTGGTCCCAGCAGGGATGCCCAATATATACTGTCCTCAAAATTCTAGAGTGCCGGTCGTGGGGCAACCAGCTGCTTAAGTCACAGTGTTCTTTGCTGGACATATGATGTCATATAGGTGGCTCATGGCTGGTCTGGAGAGTGGGCCCTGGCCACGTGTGGGGGACTGGACGTGTGTAGTGTCCCCAGCCTGTCTCTTTCAGAAAGTACAGACAAATAGGGTTCAGGTTCCAGAAAATGCTCTCATCTGCTGCCAAGCACATTATTTCTTGTTGCTAGGTATACGATGAGTTAGAAGTCATGGTCCTCTCTCCAGGCCCACCCCTACAAATGGTGGAGGCCTGTTGATGCCTTTTTGGGTTCCTCAAGGGCAAGGCCCTGGTTAGACTGCCTTGGTCAGATGGGCCCCTGAGGGACCGTACCTCCCACAAATGGTGGTTGGCCGAGTCTCAGTTAGTAATCCCCCACTCCACCACCCCCCACCCCGCCCCACACCAGCTTCCTGCTTTGGTCCTTCCAGCAGCTCCTGCTGATTGGCGGGTCCTGCTCAAATGGATCCAAAGTCCGAATCCTGTTTTCTTACCCCTGGGTCAAGTTGTCGCTACTGTAGGGCTGTGCTCCAGCACAAGTGGGAGCACTCCTCTTGTTCCTCAACCTCAGTGCTTCCTTAAGCACCTCAGACACGTTATTACCCCCAGGGTTGTTGTGAGTGGATAGCCACACCCTCTGCTCTGCTGGGGAGCCCCACTTGAGCCCTGCTGGTTCCCAAATATCAGCCCTCTCATATCACAACAGTATTGGCTTTAATTTCAATTTCTTCCCCATAGGAACTCTTCTCATTACCCAAGGTGGGCACACTTTGGAACCCCTGCATTTGCCTTCTCAAAACACCCTATCCAGACCCTCAGAGTGAGCCTTTCTTGAGGCCTCTTCTGCACCCCATTTTCTTTCTTCAGTGAAGTGGGTGTATTTTTGCTTTCTGAGATTTATGACATTCCACTTCCAAATTGCATCTTCTTTCGTACGTTCCCTCTTCATTGCTGACTTGGGGGCTGGAACTTGTTTTCATCTTTGTGGAAGCAAAGCATTCTACTGACTCACTGTCTTGCCAGCCCTATTCTCCTTGCCAGAAGCCCACCTCAACCCCACCTCTGTGTCCCTCTCCTGACATTGCCTTGAAGATAGGTACATTGAATCATTTTGTTTGCTCTTGGATTAGATGCTTTTGAAAGTCCCCACTTTACACAAACACTATCAAGGAAAATTAAGATCTGTTTGGCTCGCTATGACCAAAGGAAATCAACATGAAGATAATCATAAATATGTACTTGAGCACCGATGAGAGTCTGTGCAGGAGATGGGACAGAAGACAAATTAAAGTCATCTTCACCCTAGAGGAGAGGATACCGCAGTGGGTTCGGTGACCCATGCTTTCTAGCTGTTGTGGACTACTTTGGTGTTAATACTCACTCTGTACAGGGAGATAGAGAGGTACCATGAAAAGGCCCCACCTGCACAGTTCCTAGGACCTTGTCTTAGCTCTACCGCTTAGTGGGGTCCTTTGTCCTCTCTGAATATCAATCCTTTGTTTCTGAAAGGAGAGTGCATATGCATTTGGGAATAGAAACCCCCAAGAGGCCCCTCAGCCTAAGGTCTGCATCCTTCATGGGGCTTCAGGGTCTTGACTGGGGCTCAGTCCATGGTCTTTGTGCTTCTAGATATTCTTACAAAGCATTCATTCAAGAAGTCAGTTTATTTTGGGAGGACCTGTCCTAGAGGCTAAGAATTGAAGGGAAGTCCATTCGTGGCTCTTCAGAGGTGGGGTGCTAGTGTCTGTGGTTACGCAGCCAGTTGTCTTCAGTTGCCTACAAAAGTGTGGTTTCTTAAGCAAGTTCTTCTAAAGCTGAAAAGGAGATTTCCTTGTGGCCTTTGCTAGCTCATGTCTCGACTGATTACTTATTCGAAGGGATTTGCCCATTTTATGGGAGGTAATTTGGAGAGAAGTTTCTGGAAACCGCAGTTTGGCATTTTGCGGAGGACAGGTGTTTATTAGTTATGATTTAGGCACTCTTGCATCCCAAGTCGTCTGTAGGACCATTATCTAATGTTCTTTGATGCAAACACCACCGGATTTCCATTGTGGTAAAGAACCTAAGACACGGGGTCATCTTGTCCTCTGAAGAGGAACTATTCACACTGCTGACTTCAGTAGAGTTGAAGAAAGGCATTACGGAAATGGCTTCCTTGGGCTAAGCCCACTGAGTCCCAGTAACGAAACCCTGAGTACCATGGCTGCCAGTCAGACAAACTTTATTAGGCTCCATGCTCAGGACCTTTGGAGAGAAGTGATTGGTTTGCTCTTCACAGCTCTAAAGGCCCCAGAGATGATCCCCGGGTGTTGCCCCCTTACGACCAGAGCCCCCAGAGTTAGGTGACTCCAGGGCAGCACAGCTGACTGGGCAACCAGCACAGCCACCCCCTAGGGAGAGTGATTTACCTCCTGACTTGGCGGTGTCTTTGGCACAGCCTTGCAGCCATAGAGAACGAGCTGAGCTCTGGGCTATGGGGCCCTTGTGTGTAGCATGGCTGCCACGCGTAGAGAAGCGAGAGCCTAGTGGTTCTAAGACCCCCTAGCCACTCCCCCGAGCCGCTGAGCAACCTCTCTTAGATACGTGAGCCTGCTCTCCAATGCCACTCTTCCAGTTGCTCCTCTGCCTTCCTTCATTAGGCTAATCGGTCGGCCATAAAGAGTAGTTTATCAACAAGAGAAATGTACTTCCCACCGTTCTGGAGGCTGGAGCTCAAGAACAAGGTCCCAGCATGCTGCAGTGAGGGTCCTCCTTGTTGTGCCCTCACAAGGTGGAAGAAGTGGGGGGAATCTCTCTGGAGCCTGTTTATAAGGTGCTGCCCCCATCACTGAGGGATCAGCCCTACTGACTCAAGCACCTCCCAAAGGCCCAACCTCCACATTCCTTCATCATTGGGACTTAGGGTTTCAACATCAGCCTTTTAGGGGGGACATAAACATTCACAACATAGCACTTCCTTCTGGACAGTGCCTGCCTGCCCCCAAAACCCATGGAAGTTTTCCTGCTGTGAGGGACTTTCCTCTACCTCAGCCTAGTTCAGGCTCCATCCAGTAAAGCTCCTTGTGCATTGCAGCCTCTCCTGGTCATATCTTCTTCCTGGATCAGCCCCAAATCCCCAAAACCCTACAGTTTGCTAATGAGCTATCTCGCAATCCCATGGCTGTCCCTTAGAGGCTGATGGTTGTTGGACCCGAGGTGCATGTTTTCCAGGGGTCAGTTGGGAGGGTCTCAAAGGCTTCCAAGGCAAAAAAAATCCAGAGTTTTTGAACCCCAAACTCATGGATCGATTTACTGCCTTTAACTAATCTACAACCTGAAGCTGTTCACTACAGCCTGTTTCAGCTTCAGCAGGAGGGGTATTGAATGGAGGCCAGCAAAGCTCAATGAACAGGACCTGGACTCTTGTACTGTAGCAGATTTGGGACACCCCTCTGTGGAGTGTGAATATGTCAAAACATCCTGAGTATTGTCTTGCACCATCAGAGTTTCTTGCAGATGCCAGGGATGAAGGGCTTGATCTCTGATAGGACCCAGTGAGTCAGATTTGCTCATGGATACCGCATTTCTGATGTACAGGATTGTACTGCTCACTGAAGATACCTGTGGAAGCTCCATATGGAGGCAGGGCCCCTCACAGTACCTGGGAGCCCTCCACGCACTCTGACTTGGACCCTTTCTCGGGAGGGTCCTCTGCATTGACTTGTGCTTCAGCATTGGCCTGAGCATTTGCAGTAGCAACAAGGACTGCATCTCTGCTTCTTCACTTCTCTCCTGATGCTCGCACCAGGACTCACTGAGCAGTCTCCAAAAAGGCATGGCCATTTTCCCTACCCCTCACTGGAGAAGCAGGCAAAAGGAAAAGTGTTATCGAAACCCCCTTTGAAACGCATGAAAATTCAGAATTTTGTCCTGACCACTTCCTGAACATGCTGTGTTTTTCTGGTTCACTTGTAGGACCATGTTTGTGAAAATGCTTTTGTCTCTCCCCACACAACACTTCCAGGTGAAACGGACTGTAGGAGAAGAAGGGATGATGGAGGTAATGATGTAAAGTTTGCTTCCTGAATGGGACATGCTGCTTTGCTAAGGATGGGGGAAAAACTAAACCCAACACCTGGGGAGGCGAGGGGACAGGCTTTATGCTCTAGGTTTTCCAGAAGTGCTCCTGGAAGCTTTGACCTCCTCCTGAGGAAAGTTCACCATGCCGCGTTTGCAAGTGCTGGGAATCCAAACTGACTGCAGCACCTGGGAGCACAGCTCACAGTGCTGACTAGGACACAGACAGGTGGGCCCAGCTCTGGCACTTCCCACGCAGAGCACCTGCACAGGCTGTCCACCCTGGTCATGGGCAGCCTAAGCTGTTGGAGAAGGACTGCTTTCCTCATAACCCTTGGCTCCCAGGGGACCACTTCTGGTCCTCTAGCTGGAAGCCGGAGCTCCGGACGCCCCACACTATGGCACACTTCCCTCTAGTGGCTCTGACTCGCTGGTCCAGTGGCAGGGGCACAGATGGAGAAGTAACAGAGTGGATTCCTCTCACACTTTTGGTTACCTCTGCTGCTAAGTTTCCCTTCGCTTTGATTTTCTGCACTTTCCATACCATGTGCTTAATGCAGCTTTTTGTTATTTGTTCTACTTGGGGTTCTGTGAGCCTCCTGAATGTGTGCTTTCATGTCATTAACTGATTTTGGCAGATTCTCAGCCATTATCACTACAAAGAGTTTCCCACTCCTTTCTCTTCCCTCCTTTTCTCTTCTTCCATTTATGGATACCTTTCAGCTGCTGTGCTTTTCCTGCATCACTGGGACATGTTCTTCC